CAAGAAGTAAAGACCAAATTGAGATCATATTTTGTAATGGAAAAAGAAGATCAACTAATTAACAAACCTTGTGATTAGGAAGATCCAGGTCCCTGTTCTCTTTGATTACATTCCATATGTCCTGTGCACTAAAAGAAAATGCTGAGGCTGGAATTCTATCACTAGCAAGGCCTCCTTGAGAAGTATAGCTGGGGAATCGCTGCCTCAGTTGACCAACCTGCATGATACACCCCATAAGATATTTACTAGTACATAAGAAGGAGACAAAGCAAAATTTGTAACTTCCCGTATAATTTTTAGATACGATGAATTTCTTTCTGTGGTATTGTAGAGGGGTTACCTCCTCCTTAAATATCTCCTCCTCACTCTCATAATTGGGCAAAGCAACTACTTGTACCTTCATGTCAAAGATAGTTAATCAGAGTAGGATATTAAGCTTTCACTAATGTGAATATTATAAATTAATGTATGCTTTCGGAGAGAAATGAAAGAGATCTCACGTTAAAAATGTCATTGAGCAAGGTACTTTCATGGGCTTGTGGCTTCTGAACTCCATCCCATATCTGCAGAATTTATAAGATAAGAGTACGTAGAGCTTTGCATATATATAATATAACTATAAGCAACTACTTGTACCTTGTGCATATCTTCCTCTAGTTTATTCTTCAGCCGTTCTAACGGGGTCTAAACAAACGAACAGCCACAAACAAGAAAGAATTCATCAATATGCATGCGTTGAGTAAAAATATGGGTCTATTTTCTCGTAGACAAACAGTATGCCTGGCCAGACCTTTGTTTTATCGCGTAGGACAAACAGTAAGGTCCTTTTATGCAGGATGTGTATGCGCATCATCACCTGCATCCGTACATTAAGGAACAAGAAGGTGTGTAATTAAAATATGCAACCCTCAAAAACGGTTCTTAGTAAAGGTTTGTTGGAAGCGTTCTCCCTACCAATATCGTGGCACCACCTGTGCATAAAATCAAATATGCAAGTCATATATCTAAAAAAGCCAAAAATTACTTACACCTACCAAGTTTAGTCTAACTGTCTAAGTCTAAGAAGGAATTGATGTTTTCCACATCCAAATTACTTGTATTAGAAAGAAGAGATTCCACATTCAAATTCGCTGCATGACTACTTACGCAAACATTCAGTGACCCAAACTAACACCAGCTTTTTCTTGCTAAAACAAACGGCAATAGATACCTACTACCTACGTGCATGTGCCAATCCTATCACCTTAAATAATTTACCAAATTACAATATCCCATTTATCTGGTAGTTACTTACTAAACACAGTAATTAAGATGAAGTATACTTCCCGGAAAAAATAATAATAATTATACATACATATTTATGATCACAATGTCCGAAATTGCAAGCGCAAATAGGGCGCTTTGCTTCTCGAATGCAATATCATCCTGAAAATAACAGAATTGCAGGAGAAGAATATATGAAGAGTGAGAAAATTATACGAGAATTTTAACATATAGTTACTAGAAGAAAAACTTTACCCAATAAATTTTTATTCCCTGGATGCTTTGTAACGACCTGGTCCTAAATAAATAGGTGAATATTAATTTATTCAGATAAAAGACCATTTTGCTCCTAAAATATTTTATTAGGTTTAAAGTTGACTTTTTTACCAGGAACGAATTTGGGAATTTTGACTGTAACGTTGCTTAGAGCACGGCGAGATGAGTCCGTAGACAGGTAGTGGGCTTGAATCGGAGCTGTGGCGAAGAAGTTACGAGCAAAACATCATCAGTGACATAACTGTAATTTTTGCAAAAATGGTTGATAAAAATCTGATTCTCTCTCTCCCCCGGCGCGTTTTTCTTCCCAGCTGTGGCTTCCAAGAGCCACCGTCGCCACGGACCACCACCGGCCACGAGGCCAGACCCGTTCGAACCGCTGCCACCTCCTCTTCCTTTCACGGCCGTTCCCAGTCGCTGCCGTCCACTGTGCTAGCCGGAAACTGCAGAAAACCAGCTGGTTTTTGTCAAAAATTTTGGCCGCTCGTTCTCCCACTTCCGGCCACCATTTCGACGATCCAGGTATGGATTTTGAACCTCTAGAGTTGTTCTTGCTGCCAGTTGTGTTAGATTTGAGAAATTTTTGTGTTTTGGAGGTCGATTAAGCGATGGAAGTTTGGCCGGTTTTTGGCCTCCGATTCTGTCTACTTTTTGGGGTAGGTACAAGAACAAAAGTGGTTCCAAATAGAGTGTTTTACCTAGGGTAGGAAGCTGGGTTTCCAGTTTTGAATATTTCCGGTTGCCGGAATTTGATCAAGCCACCCACGCTCTGCCGGCGCGTGGTCCACTTTTTGGCCTGTCTTTGAGTCCTAAAATCATTTTCATGTCGTCCTGAGCACGACGGTATGCTCGGATATGAATTCAGATATCATTTGATCGTCGATCGGATATCGCATATTGTGCGTTATCCAAGTTCAATAGGTTTGAACCGTTGGATCTTTGTGAATTTAATCTATGATAAGCTAGGCATCTTTAGGATCGTATAGGATTTGACGGATCGTAAAACGGAGTCCCGGATACTCCGAAAATGCCAACCCTAGGGCTAGGTTTACAATAACCGTCCGATCGTGAGCAATCCTACCGTTCGATCTGGACCAAACTTGCAGGACGTGTGTCCTAAACCTTGTAGAACCCATAGGAACTTTCGGATCGGAATTTGGAGGTCGTGGGCCCCATGTGCCCATTTGACTAGGTTTGGGTAGTTTGACCCTTGGTTGACTGTGAGTCTTCTTAGTTAGTCTCCCTCTTCGAGGAATACTAGAACGACCTTTTTAACAAGTCTCGACCTTTATTTGATGGCTTTGGGGGAATGTTTGAGTGTTTTATGTTAGCGTATGGAAACTCTTGGATATTATTTTAATAATTGAAATTATGGATTAGATGACCGTGGGTAAATTGATTTGATGAGTGGTGAAAAGGAGTCGTGGGCTTGGCTATGATTATTAGGAAGTGAGTGGACATTTATGTTAAATATGCATTAATTTCAATGATTGAAAGAATATGCATGGAATGGGTATATGTATATGTAAAGATTGAGAAATTAATAAGTTGAGATATTAGTAATATTAAATTGAAATTTTGATTTTGAGGTGGAAATTGGAAGGTTGAAATTCTAGGAAATGTTTAAATTACATGGGAGGTTTTACCGAAATTTCGGCAGAAAGTCTCGTGCCCTGATTCCTTCTTTGGAAAAGGAGGTTATAGTTTTAGTGAGTGAGCCCGACATCGGTGTGATGTCGAGAATTTCACAAGATTCGTATTTGGTTTCGAAGAATTCGGGGCGAGTCCTATCATGCTTTTATTTTTAACTCCCTTTTTCAGTGACTAAGGGAGGGAGATTATACACCGGGGAACTTGATGATGAGGTGCCAGTTACATGAACTAAATCTGTTGGTTAATAATGATAATACTTACTTGGTAAGTATATATATATATGTGTGTGTGTGTGTGTGAGATTAAGACTAGTAGGGAATATTTCTCAATATATATATATATATATAGAGAGAGAGAGAGAGAGAGAGAGTCTTCTCAAACTGTGAGACTCAACAGAAACCTAACTAGACATGTTTACATCACTGGTAATTAACAAAAAAAGCTGAATATATACCTGGCCTCTCTCGCTGCCATCGGTACCCTCCAAATCCATGGCGATGGTGAAAGGCTGAATGCCAACACACTTGGCTAGCCAAACACCCTTGGTTGTTTGGTTCCTGGAACGTAGGAAACATATAAATTAACCTTTACTTGTGTCGAAAGCAAAGAAATAAATTGCAAACAGAATTAACTACTAACCTTCCCTGGTATGCATCCATCTCCCTGAAGTTAGTGTGGAAGAGATGGTTCATTAAAGTGCTCTTTCCTGTTCATAGGCAATTAACCCACTCAAAATTAAACATGATCATAACCAAACTGAGTGATTGAAGTAATTAATACTAAAAGGCTTGATGATTTACCGCTACTCTGAGGACCCATGATGGCAACGACGGCGTAGGAGAGTCCGTGGTCAGCAAGCTTCACTTTCTCTGTGAAGCGGTTGAATCCAGCAGCATTGAATTCGCTGTTGTGGTCGATGAGTTGCATGGCACAGCAGTCTTCCTTCATCGCCATCTCTGAGTAGATAGAGAGAGAGAGAGAGAGAGAGAGAGAGAGAGAGAGAGAGAGAATCTGTGTACGTAATATTCTTGACAGAGTTTACATATATTTATAGATAGATAGGCTTTTCTGTAATTATATATAACCTTGTGAAAATATATCACTCTTTAGCTTCAGACAAACGAGTAGAAAAAATTATACAAATTTATAAATAAACCCAATCCTAGACATGTATTTATAAAAAAACCCAAGCACTATTTAAACATAGAAACACACCCAAAATCAACTCCAAAGTCAACTTTTTGGGTGTGTTTATAAAGTGTTTTGGGTGTTGGGTTTTTTTATAATTTCAACCTCCATTTTGGGTGTTTTAGTGAAACTCCCAAAAAATTATTATGGGTTCAGTCGGTTGAGACTTGAGATCTATTTGATTGCGTTAGATTTTTGGACAACGTGACAAATTATATAAGAATAATACTAGTCTTACCACATTTTTTATACCATAATTTTATACCACATGATGTGGCAGCTGATGTGTATATATCACATCATGTAAAATACTAGTTTTTATTTTTCTAATTTTATTTATTAAAATACACTTCATTCATTTAATTGATGTGGCATATGTCACATCATGTGGTATAGAAATATGGAATAATAATGTAGTAAGTGTAGCATTACTCATTATATAAATTATAATAGGGCCCTCTTGAGAAGAATGTCCATGTTTTTTCTCAAGAAATTTGTTTATTTGTGGGGCTTCAAACTAATCTATTAAAAAGGGTTAATGCCTCTGAGCAATGCTAAATATGTTTAAGATTCCCGGAAATTACTTAATAGTCTACACTTGGTCCACAAGATGCTTATCGGAGAAGGCAATGGCAATATACTTGCCAAATTACTCTCTGTACATAGTCTATCTCGTCTTTCACTTTCGTATGCGATATTTACTTTTAGCAAACAATTCCAAAACCCTCATCCGTTGAAAAAAAAAGACACCAAGAGTATGATGCCATACTAGAGAAGTTTTTACTTATAGCCGTCGTACTACAAACATGGTGGATGTAAGGCTTAGGTGGTGCATTCTACTGGAGGTAAGGCTTCTGTTCCCACTTGCGGTTGAGCAAGTACGGCTACTTTGTTAGCTCGACGTCCAAACCCATTGAAGTAGAGACACTCGCCTAATCTTTGAAGACATAACCCCAATTTTATATTTGTTACATTCTGTATTCAATAAATAGTGTTGCCCTTTCTCAACAACAACCAAAAAAAAAAAAAACTCAAAATTGAAAATTCATATTGAAAGCCCAAAAAAAGTGTCAAAATTACTTAACAACTGTTCACATAAACTTTTGAATTAATCATAATTGGTAGTTAATAGGAAATTACAGTCTTTATGGGAACAACACTTTACTTACTTGTATATTACTTGTGTGGACTGTCGTGACACCATTTTTTTTTAAACCAATACTCTCATGACATTTTAATAGTTTATATGTAAAACTATCCTCACTCTAGACTGTCGTACTATAAACATAATAATTTATGTGAACCAAAAGTCTTTGTATGTGGCCCCAATCATTTTCATGACTAGTGATCAATTTTAGTTGCCGTTGTTGAATCTCATCCTTGAAGGAATATTGAGACTTTTATAAGAGCACCTCCACCGCAAGTGGGGAGGCAGGCAAAAGGGCGCCCCTCAAGCACGCAGGGTCTGGCTCATCGGCAAGAATTGCTTGGGCTATAGCTCGAAGACTGCTGACATTAGGGATGTAGCTCAAAGACTGCTGACATCAGTGCTGACAAAAACCAACAAGAAGAAGCCACATGGTGCTTTCCGGATGCTCTGATCATATATTTTTGAGAAATTCAACGGGTGTGATTTTGTTGCCTAAAAAAAATTCCAACAAAATTAGATTTTAAAAAAAAGAACTTCCAATATTTTTTACTTTCCACACCAAATAATTTTCTCCTTCACTAAATTCTATTTGTGTAAAAATACAAATGACCTCTTCTATCGAAACCGGAGGCGCGTGGATAACCATGGTTTAAATATATTAAAATTAATGGTTTAAGTATAAAAAATAAAAAATAAATTAAAGTGAACAGTAATTACCCTTGCCCTTTGCAGTGAAAACAAAAAGACAAGGGCTGTCACTATTCACATGGATAGCAACAAACCTTGCTTTACCTTTGCCTTGTCCTTTTTTTTTTTTAGTTTGAACCACGAGGTGGTCCTGGATGGGCCCCAACTATGGGTGGCACCTTTAAGCCTTAACCACAACCCAGACTAATCCCCGCTCACACCGGGTCGGCCCGTAAGGGGTAAAGTGCTGGCCAAAGTGGTGACTCCATACGAGAGCAGGGATCGAACCCCTGACCTTCTCTTAAGGAATGAGAGTGCCGAACCACTCACACCAACCACCTTGGTTCCTTTGCCTTGTCCTTTCATTCCGAGGTGGAAGTGCTCTAATAGGAAAAAGAGAGCAACATAATTGGATAGATCCTTTTAATAAGCTGAAAAAGTATGCCCAGACCTTATTTATCGCGTATAACAAACAGTAACGTCGTTTTACGGGGGCTAAATATACATTCAAAACCAGAATTTCATGAACCGACATTAAATGCTGAATAAACAGTAGAGATATAGACATGGTTCAAGGTGAAAAACTGTTTTCAGTAAAGGTTTGTTTGCAGCTTGCTCGCGACCTATATCATGACACCACTTATATATAATCCAATATCCAATTAATTTTAAATTACATGTATATGTAAAATCAAAAAATATGTATTGACATGATTTTCCGGATAAGAAGTCATGTAGACAGTATATGGTTGTCACTATGAGCCTACGTATACTCTGTTATCTTCAAATGTCAAACAACTTCAGGACTCAAAAGTTCCTAATGCGAATAAGCCCCCCATTTCATGAAGGGCAGAGTCCTAATTACAAACTGACATGAGATACCAATGCATGTGACAATCTAAAATAGACACGTCTACTTATTAGACATAACACTTATCAGAACAAGTTACATCCCACTAACTGACAAATTGGAGTAACAAACAACTTCAGGACTCTGAATTAAAAGTTCCTAATGCGAATAAGCCCCCCTTTTCATGAAGGGCAGAGTCCTAATTACAAACTGACACGAGATACCAATGCATGTGACAATCTAAAATAGACACGTCTACTTATTAGACATAACATTTATCAGAACAAGTTACATCCCACTAACTGACAAATTGGAGTAACAAACAGTTACTTTTGGTCCCTATAGTTTGACACTTCAATTACTTTTAACAATGTAGTTTCAATTTTATCAATTTTGTCATTGTAGTTTCGTATTTGTAGCAATTCAAGGACATGTTAATATTCTTGTCAATTTCTTTAACGATGCAAGGGGCAATTTCGTCAATCCAAAATCCTTGAGCATAAAAGTTTGTTTGAAATTCTCCCCATTTCATATTAGGGCTCGAAAATCAACCACTAATCCCAATTTTTGAAGAACCCTAAACCCAAATGACCAATTTCAAGCCCTAATATGAAATTAGGGGAGTTTCTTTCAGACGAGTTTTTATGCTCAAGGATTTTTGGTTGACAAAATTGCCCCTTGTATCGTCAAAGAAATTGATAGGATACTAACTTGTCCTTAAATTGCTACAAATATGAAACCATATGGTCAAAATTGAAGGAATTGAAACTACATGGTCAAAAGTTGTTGAAGTGTCAAACTACATGGACCAAAAGTAACTTTTAACCGAAATAAAGTATTGTAAATAATGCGGAAATAGAAGTCATAAGGTGGGCCAAAATAATCAAAAATTGATTTTGATTTAGGGTTAACTCGAGATTTGCCCCTTGAACTTGTACATAACTTTCGATTTACCTCATATATATTTTTTTTATTATAGAAAATTAAGGATATAAACTTTTTTTGCCAATTTTCCCTCTCCATCTAAATCCACAACATTTCATCTAATTTCCCGTTAAAAATGAGAGCAAAATGATCATTTTGTACATTAAAAATAAAAAATAAAAATGAAAAACAGAAAATTGAAATTCTCTCTCTCTCTCTCTCTGCAGGCTCGTGTGGAGGATAGGGGGCTGGGGAATGGGATGGGTCTGGGTCTTGGGGGCAAGGGCTAGGGATGGGTTTCGGCTGGGGCTGGAGGTGGATCTCGAGTGTGGGATGGGAGGAAGCGGGTGGGATTTAGGGTTGATGGGGTTGATGAGGTTAATGGAGACACTGCTCGATCAGCCGACAATACATAATGGATATCGCTTACAAGACAAACACAAGATATCCAGGACACCGCACACCGACAAAATATCCAAACAACAAATGGTCATCGCCACATGCAGTATGTGTGACACATCCGGCAAAACTCAAAATCACATTCAAATTCAAGGCCAAAACATGTATCATTTCAAACTCAAGGCCAAATCCAATATTCAGCAATATAAAATAAGAAAATATTCAATCGTATAAAGCAATTTGTCAAAATATGCAAATATACTTAATCGGAAAATGACCAGTGAAGCAAGTGAAGACCCACTACATGGATAAATATTCAAATCAGTCTGAAATTTGAGCTGTGTTGGTCCAGAGAAACTTCCATGCTCAGTTGCATAATAACTAGACGACTAAAAGCATATGCAATGGGCTTCCTAAACCACCTCTTTAGACAAAATTTTGTGAGGAATTGGAAAAATACAATTCCAACTATGTTCTCTATCCACCTCATAAAATAGGAAGACTTCTAGGAGCTACTAAATCTGGAGAGGAAAGAGAGAACTTCTAATGACTCCCTATAATTTAATACTCCTTTGTTTTGTGCATATTTTAAAACTTTTAATGAATGTTAACTATTTTTTAATTTTATTTATTTATTATTGAGATGGACCAATTATATTAAATTAAAAAAATAATTATAGTATTTATGACTCTCTAAACTAGGGAATATGATTAGAGTTCAAATTTTATAAAGAGCTCCTAAATAGCTTTTGTGCT